AGAGAGAGAGAGAGAGAGAGAGAGAGAGAGAGAGAGAGAGAGAGAGAGAGAGAGAGAGAGAGAGAGAGATTTTCATTGTTTTCAGTCTCCCTCTGTGAGCGGCATGTGCCATGAAGTCGTGGTGCACCTTTCCTTTTCCATCTGTTTGCCTGGCGGACTCTTGTCGTGTGTGTTTGGGGGTAGTGCTTCCCGAACAGTGCTCCCAGTCGTGCCCTTTTTTTTTCTTTTTTTCTTTTCTTTTTCTTTTCTTTTTTGGTTCTTTTTCCTCCTTCTGTTTGCCTGGCGGACTCTTGTCGTGTGTGCTTGGGGGTCTGCATGGCATATCGACCAGCCGAACCCGAGAATCGAACACGCGACCTCGCACTCAGGAGTTGCACGCTGAACCAAACGGTTAATAAGCTGACTGGTCTGAAAGTTAACCCCCAGGGCAAAAAGGACACTTAACCCCCGTCCCAGTTTTCCCTCTTTTTTTTTTTTTTTTTTTTTTTTTTTCCCAATTCTTGCACAGCGGGCCAGCAGGGGCCATGCTACAAAGTCTTTTCTCTGTCATTCCAGTTTTAATGGATGCCCTGAAGGATCTGCCGGTAGTGTTTTCTTCCAATTTCAGTAGATGATGCCCCGAAAAAGACGTAGTCGTTCTCAACTTGTGTTTTGGGTATATCTTTCCGTCTAAATGCAGCAATAATGACCATTCGTTCTATTCGCGTGAAGAACGCGTGTTTCCTTCTCTTTTTTTTTTTTTTTTTTTTTTTTTTGGTGACTTGTCTATTTCTGAAGTGGGACTTACTCACTCCACACGCTTGGCGGTCTTTCTTGTTTGTTTTCTCATCTCAATGCTCAATGGGAATTCAGGATTTGAAATCCCTGAAGCAACACAGGACTAATCTTTTTTTTTCTCTTGCCTATGCTATCTCAAGGACCCATCTACGCCGCCGCTTCCAGAAGCTAGATATCCAAGAATCGTTGAGGTCGCTTGTTCGATTCTCGGGATCGTCCAACGGAAAGCGAGAAGAAGTGGGAAAAAAGGAGGGATGGAAGGAGGGATGGAAGGAGGGAAGGCTGGAGTGACAACGGGGAGATGGCGGACGATGGAGATGACTCTCTGCTACATTGTGGTGGCTATATTTTACGTGGCTGTGATTTCGAAAGGCCTCGTTTTGTCTGCTGATTTCGATTATGGGAAGCGTGCAGGGGTGCTCCCGGGTCAACGCCCAGGATGGATGTTTGGTCGTCAGATTGATTTGTCAGACACCCAATGGCGCACCTTTCGCAATAATTTGCCCGTGCTTTCAGCGCTGCTGGGGCTTCTTGTGACCCTTGGAGAGCTGCTAAGAAGGCTATGTCCCAAGTCCACGTCAGCTCAGACGTTTTTCTGGTTCAAATGCTCCGTGTTCACACTGCTGTACATGCACGGAGCTTGCATCGTTTTCGTCTTCCTCTTCGCGGGGCTGAACTTCGCGCTTGTGAAGGCCTGCGCTGGGAATCGATGGTACCCTCCTGTCTTGTGGGTTTTCAACTGTGCGTTGTTGCTTTCCAGCAGGCTGCACAACGGCTACTCCTTTGCACTGATGTTGGGGTCCGAATTTGCCTATTTGGATGGGTATAGAGGGGGTTTTCGATGGGAGATTTGTTATAATTTCTTGATGCTAAGGATGATCAGTTTCGGTATGGATTTCCACTGGTCGCTTATCAAACGCCCTTCACCTGTCGACTTGGCAAAGCACAAGGAGTCTTGCGAGGTGTGCAGCGGCTATGTCGGGGGTATTGGAGGGGGGGGAAGAGGGGGAGGGGGAGGGGGAGGAAGGCGGCTGGGAGGAGCGGAGGAGTCGGCGGAAGGGCAGTGTTACCTTGCACGACAGGAGGGGGTCATCGATCTGAAGCATTTCAACCTGATGAAGTACTTGTGTTATTTGTTCTTTACTCCTCTTTATATTGCTGGACCTATTTCTAGCTATGGTGCATTCGTTTCCCACCTGGAGTCCCGACAGACGGCTCATAGTCAGTGGAAGCTGTTGCAGCTTTTCCTCAGGTATGCTGCCTGCTTTGCTCTCATGGAGCTCATCACCCACTTCACACATTTCAATGCTTTGGCCATCAGTATGGCGTGGCAGAGCTTAAGTCCATTTGAGGTCTTCGCGATTGGCTATGGCGTTCTGAACTTCATGTGGCTGAAGTTCCTCTTGATCTGGCGGTTCTTCAGACTTTGGGCATTGGTGGCCGGATTCGATGTACCTGATAACATGCTCCGCTGTGTGAATAATAACTATGATCTTGAAGGGTTTTGGAAAAACTGGCACGCGTCGTTCAATCGCTGGATCGTGCGGTACATCTACATTCCCCTCGGAGGGGCGGCATCGCGCGGAACGAACGTGTGGCTGATCTTCACCTTCGTCGCTCTCTGGCATGACCTTGATTGGAGGTTGCTGACGTGGGCATGGATGACGTGTGTGCTTTCCATGCCCGAAATCTCTGTGAAACTTCTCATGAAAAGCGAGAAGATGAGGTGGGTGAAGGACACGTGGATGTATCGAGAGGCTTGTGCCGTTTGCGGAGCTCTCAACATCACTGGATTGATGGGAGCCAACCTTGTCGGATTCGTGATCGGTCCCGATGGGCTGCAGACTTTTGGCGCCAAATTTTTGACCAGGCAGAGTGTGCCCCTGATTGGTGGAATTTTCGTCGCGTTCTATGCTGGGACGAAGGTCATGTTCGACATCCGAGAGCGGGAAGCGCGAAGGCAAAGCGCTCTCAGAGAGGCGATTGGCGCCAAAAAAAAAATGGCGGGAAAGAAGCAAGGGAGAGAAGCAGACCGAGAATCGGGAAAAATGGCGGGAAAGAAGCAAGGGAGAGAAGCAGGCCGAGAATCGGGAAAAATGGCGGGAGTGGTGCGAGCGGAAGGAGAACGAGATCGAGATGGAAAAGGTGAAGATCATCATCATCACGACAACAAGGGATCATCGGAAAAAGAACAAGACGAAGAAGAACGAAAGATGAGGAAGCGATTTTCGATGATCAGAAACAGTCCGTGATTGGTTCTTTGTATTCGTCAATCCATCCATCCAATCAATCAATTAATCAAGCAATGAGTTGTTATGGAGTTGATGGATTTTTACTGTAATCAATCGGCCGATCGATTACTTAAGCAACTTATCGATTCGATCAGCGGCCGATCGATTAAGTAAGCGATTTATCGATTCGATCAGCGGCCGATCGATTAATTAAGCAATTTATCGATTCGATCAGCGGCCGATCGATTAATTAAGAGATTAATTGATCTGCTGAGATCGATCCAACTGAGATGATGTCAAAACTGGGCTGACGTGCTTTATTGATATCGGATGGGTGTGTGACTTCTTGCCTTGCCTTTCAGATTCGGTGGATGGAATCTCCAGATTCGCCTAATACTAAGAGAGAGAGAGAGGGAAGTTTCGTGGGAACTTCTCTACAAGGCAAAGTTCTGATTAGTGGTCCGAGCGGAATTTTGTGGAAATTTGGCCAAGCGCTGTTCCTACGAGGCGGGAGGAGAAGGGGGGAGGAGAGAGAGAGAGAGAGAGAGAGAGAGAGAGAGAGAGAGAGAGAGAGAGAGAGAGAGAGGGTTTGCGATGTCTGGCTGATTGGCGCTCTTACAAGTTCGGTGAGCGAAACGTGATGACAATCTGGCGCTTCTTTTGCACGGAGTTGTTTGGTCCGTTCCACTCTGCCGTTCTTAAAAAGTGGGAGGAGGATTTTTTTTTAAAGCGGGAGGAGGATTTCGTTGTATGGAAGAGAGAGAAGGGAAGGGAAGAAAGGAGTGGAAGAGGAGGGGCGTTTTTGGCGGGAAAGAAGGGAGTGGAAGAGGAGGGGCGTTTTTGGCGGGAAAGAAAGGAGTGGAAGAGGAGGCGCTCTTTTGGCGGGAAAGAGAGGCGAAGAAGGTGAAGACGAGGAGGAAGGAATGCAGTTTGCAGGGATATCTGCCTGTTTATCGCTCTTACAAGTTCGGTGAGCAGAACGTGATGACAATGCCGTTTGCATGGTGTTATTTTGTCCTTGTCTATTTGCTGTCCATACGAAGTGGGAGGAGGATTTCGAAATTGTATGGAAGATAGGGGAAGGGGTTTTGTCATAATTTAAATAAGGTGGGAGAGAGAGAGAGAGAGAGAGAGAGGGGG